GGCTTCCCACCTGGAGTGTACCCAGCCTTGCACCTGTAGCTTGCAGGCACCCCCACGACCCTGATTTTGAAGAATCGGTTAGAAAATGGATGGATAGATGGGCACCATGGAAGATTAAATGGATAAATTATTAAATGGAGCCACAGGCAAAACCTTAACAATGTACCTAAACACCCTTCAATATGAAGTAATTATTCTCAACACAGAAGTTATTTATTGCATGGCTCTATTAGCCTGATTTAATGTACACAAGTTAAGAATATTTTTACAATACATTACTGCATCCAAATGAGTCTATAAGGTTTGCCAAGAGGGTATCCATTAAAAAATTGCTTAACTATAATAAACAGAGGATGGTCAGATTATGACAAGATGGATACATAAGGAATAAGAAAAGTTTATAATAGCACTGCCTGCCAGAATGGAAAGAAATTACACTGCCACCCCATAACTGTACAAAAAGCTGGATGCGACCAAAAATTGTGCTTGAGGAATGACCACCCTAAGACACAACTGCTGTTTACTTTTAGGCAGAATTACAAGAGAAGATGCTTTCAGCAGCCAGAAAAGCTCTTGCAGTTTTTAGGATGTGTTAATGGAAAGGCTTATGAGACTGATATCTTCACTGGGCCTGCAGAGCTGTGTCATACAGCATGGAATTGAAACTGTTAACTAGATCTTCGACACATGCTGAGATCCTTTTTCACGCCTTTAGTTCTTCCTACCTTGTAACCACGATACTGCATTTATTAGTATCTTCTAAAATTCCATTAGAAAGCCCCAGCTGGTACAAAATGCAGTAGTTACAGCAGTTACCAGTTAAAGACAGCATGAACACACAACTCCTTAAGGTCTACCCAACAGCTTTTGGATCACATTTAAGACCTCTCCTTCCCTGTTGAACTTTGAGATATCAAACCTAATTATCTATCTTATCTGACAGCAGCATTCTCTTTCTTCCTTTTCTATATATTGAATCAAGCTCATGGGGAGCCATGTACAATGCATTAGTATACATCTAATGTTACTAATTAAAGCACAATAGTTTGGATCTCTTACCAATAAGCATACGAAGTGGTCTGCAAGTAAATCAATCCACTTTGGATGGTTAATTTTCTTTTTTTTTTAGTAGAAGTTGACTGTAGCAAACTCATGTTTTCATGTATTACATCTTTATCGTTTACTATTGTTTAATTCCAAAGTCACGACCTGGAGAGTTGGAATTCTGCAGGTCATTCCTTATAGTAGTACATACTTCCCTGAAAATGCACTTAATTTCAGTATGAGAAGAAACATAAAATTTAGTACATCTACCATGACAAATGTATACATGAAAAAAGCCCAAAGCCCACAATGAAAAAAATGGCATATGAATTAGTGTAATTTCAACAGTAAAATAAAAGCCTATAGATACTGCAATCTTAATCGGTTTACACTTCAACTTAAGTACATTTATATGTCCTTTATGTTTATTTGTAAATCATCAAATTGTAAAAAAGCAAAGTAATTGATACTTCTGAGCAGTTTGATGTTTTGCCTTTTTAAATTCTTCAGTGTCATCACATGTGCAGTCTGTTAACCAACATGCCCACACAATGCAGTCTTAAAATAGTACTTTATTATAAAATTAAAATTGGCTTGAAGATTTTACTTGACTAATCTAGCAGCTGTCAGCTAACAAATGAACTGCAATACTTCAATATTATTTATCTGCATGTACTGGCAAAGCACTGGGCACAATTTTATAGCAGAATCCAGGGGAACTTCCTTTAGCTGACATCTCACTTAACTGAATACACTGCTTTTTATCTAGGAAGTTGTACAATGCCCAAAGCATTGGAAACTTCTGATCAAGCACATCCTTTGAATGTTTAATCATAGTCCTATCTATTTAGGGTATGTTTACAAAGACCCACTCAAAACAAATTCAGAATGTTAGCTCTGGAGACGTACAAGACCTTGAAAAAACACAATGTTACGCTGCTGATAAAAAATGCTGGATATATGTGCTTTAATGTACATTTTTACAAATCACCAGATATACGATGTCCAATTAGATTGAAGGACTTCATTTTATGACATCTGTACTACACCAAGTGATGAACTGTATATGGGTGAAAACAGCAGTTTTAATTTTAAAAGGGAATCAGTGAAATAAACAATCTCCCTGGGAACCTCCAAGCTTCAGCTCAATTTAACTCGCTTTATCCCCCCTCTCCGAGCTGCACTCTTGTGAATAGTAAGATTGTACACAGTCAGGTTTACAAAGCAGTTAATGTTTCTTGCTCCTACTGCAACAGTAAATGCCTGGGGGCAATGGGTAAAACAGTGTAGATGGCAGACTCTGGAGATTGATAAGTAGTGTTTTCTGTCTGAATTGCTGTGCCTCACAACCTCGAGAGCTTCCTACTGCACAAGAGTGGTTCTGCTAGTTGTCATTTGCCTTCTTTTGAAATGTTTTACTTGGTCTATCATTATACAGACAGGGAAATGTTAAACAGTCATATAAGGACACAGGCTGTTGTATGTGTCTTTAATTAAAAGTAAAATGAAATAAATGAAATAAATTGTCAATGACACTCAAAACTCATCAAGTGTGTAAAACATAAAAGAGCCTGATTACAATGGACACAATAGTAATGTTACTTTCCAGCATACCAAAAGGAATGGAAAACCTTGGTGGAGTGGTCACCATAAATGACAGAACGTGATCAACAAAGTATGTTATCAAGAAACTACATTCTTGCAGAAAGCTTCTCCTTAAAATCTTAAGCTTTGGAATGTTTACAAGTTGGTGTTTCTTTTCTCCAGGATAACACCATCCAAGACCATCTCAGGAACACTCAACAATGGTGAAGCTTATGTGCTCTGGTCATCTTATTGAATGCTTTGTCTTAAAGGAAGTTCTGGACCAGCCTCACTGATGAGGACAAGTTAATCACAAATATGAGCTAGCAACTCCTATAAACAGTTCTAGATATTATTATTATTATTATTATTATTATTATTATTATAAAAAACTATTTTAAAGGTGGCTTCTCAAAGCGCTTTACAGGATGACAATAATAAATAAGAAGATTTCACAAGATAAGACACAATTACAATTACAACAATAACAATAGAGGAGACCATGGAAGTGGTACTAAGAAGAGCAGAGGGATGAAGAATGGAACCAGTTAAGTAAAGGCTTTTCTGAAGAAGAAGGTTTTGAGTCTGGATTTGAAGGAGTTTAGAGAAGGTGACTCTCAGATATCCTTGGGCAAAGAGTTCCAGAGCTTGGGGGTATAGCAGGAGAAGGCCCTGTCGCTGACGATATTTGAGTATCGTCAGTATAAAAATGAAAGCTGAGGCCATGTGATCTTAAAAGCTGACCAAGTGGGAACATGTAAATGCTTATTACTCTTAGAACCCACATACTGCATCTTGAAAAGATATCAAGATCAATGGGACCATGCTTAGTTTTTTATTATATGATCGTATAGCATACAAATGACAGTACAGACCACTAAGTTTAATTAATATGGTGGTCAGGTCTTCTTTAATCTAACCTGTCACAAGTCAATATACAGACACACTATCACGAGATCTCGCAAAGAAAACATTGCTAAAACTACACTACTTCATAGACAAGGACTCCATGTTAGTCCAAGTACAAATCCTAAGGCTACCTTGAAACAGCATGTTCCAAAATCAAATATCTCAAAGTTCCTCTCATAACACTGGAACAAGGAAATTAAAAAACCCATTAGAATCGCAAAACCCATATGAAGTCACTGCATTTACAAGCAGGCCTAGTGTATAGTAATGCATTAGAACGTTCACATTTTCCATAGGGACAGATAATTTTTTTGTGTTCCCTGATAACCATTATCAATTAAGAACGATTTAAAATTTGTCAAACGTGGTAAAAAAATGTAAGAATAGCTTAATTCAATCTATTCTCAATTTTCGGGAAAAATGGTTTTTGATGGATTGCTTGTAACTAAGTATCTTTTAAGGTATGGCTTTTCATTTCCTTCTCCCTTGTTTAATAACAGACAGAAAAATGTAATGCAATCAACGTGCCCTATGCTGCTTCCGGTGAAACTCCTCAAACCTCTGTGAAACGTTCTACCCTCCGAGAAATCAATATCATTAGACCGATGCTATAAATTACTGTTCAGTGACTTGGCACGCTGATGCAATTTGTCGGTTTTTTTCTTGTAAAACAAACCTGTGGCCCAAGTGTTTCTGTAGCAGTAACTGTTTAAAAGAAGAAAAAACTGCTGCCGGGTTCAAACACCGAGAAAAACTAAATTTATAGAACATGGCTACACATAAAATGCTCTTAAATTCTTGTCGAAATCAGTCTATATTTGCATTTCACCAAAATATAGTAACAGTATGGCAGTCTTAATAATGCTAAACATAGCACTTATTCTACATATGGAATATATACATAGAAATGCAATTCAGGAATTCCGCTATGTTTAGCAGTGAGTGCGTTGGAATTGCAGCTTTAGTACGCTTGATCCTACTGATAAATTGTTAACTGAGAATCGGTTAAGTGCAATAAGTGCAAAGTCCAGGTTAGAAACTCGCTTTAGACCTAGTCATTATCTAGAGCTACATATTTCAATAATAATTTTTAAATGGTCCGATAACTTTCATACATTTTGCAGTCTGACATTTGTTACTTGTAGTAGAAAATAAAGCGCTGTTTGTTCTCGTTGAATACTGTATCAAGTTTCAACAGATTCGACAAATGGCCGTAGGCTCACATCTTTCATTGCTGTTACCACACACCTGGAGAGTACAAATTTAAGAAATCCCTTTTTCTGGGTTATTGTAGATTACGAAACACCATATAAATGCAAATCAAAAGGCATTCACATCAAAGTGCGTGAGTAATGTGTAGTAAATACAACTAGTATCCAGCACAAGTGGCTACGTTGTATTCTTTAGGTGCATTGTACATTCCTACTACACACGACTCTTGACATAAATAAATAACTACTTACTTTTTGAAACATGCCCGCTCCATTCCTCGGATTTTTGGTATGGTCTAATTGTAGGTGATCCAGCATTAGGTACAAGGAGAACACCACCACGCAGAATATGGCACTGCCAAACACGGTAAATTGTCTGCTCAGCTTCATCCTTCGCTCTTCTCCACCACAGCAGGGAAATGAAGCAACGTCAGTTTTACAAAGTCAAATCTACAGAAAGAACCAAACTTTATAGTCACATACACAGCGTGAAATATCTTGAGTTGTCTAAAGTGAAAGTGTGTCGAGGGGTTTCCGGTAAAGGGAAAAAAGTATCCTATTTTAAAAATATTAGTACAGCAATACCAAATACTCTCCGTTTTTGCGCTCATATAATTTCGCATTTGGTACTTATTTAAAGAAATTAGAAAAGCACGGTAAAGTGCAACATTATTTCCCAGGAACCGTCAGCACAGCCAAACTAACTTTCAAGTCGGTGGGCTAGTTTGTGTGATTCAGCAAATCGAGTTGGTTAACTCAGCAAGCATTTGCCTTCCTTCCTGTATATTTTGTTTTTGTACCCAAGGAAGTGAACACAAAGGTGTGCGTCTGCGCCGCCTATCGAATCATACCTTCCATCGGACCAGGTAGCTTCGAGAAGCGTTTTTGAACAGTCAGAAACTGAACTGCATTTACTTCTGACCACCAACAAGTACGAAAACTGCTCCTCGTCTCTCAAGTGAAATCCTAATTACGTTAAATTTCCATGTAAACCGCTAAAGACTGCTGATGACTAATAAGCCCGACGAAACTATTCCTGTTTAGTGTGGTTGACATTGATATAACTTTTACACTGCGCAGCCCGAGTTAATGGTACTCAAAAACTGCAACATAACGCAGACAAAAAAAAGTAAAAAGTCTCCTTCTCCTTCAGCAATGTTAATTAATCCTCATTTTGATGAATCTGTTCCCAGATGTTTTTTTTTCGATTTCGTACATTTAAGTTGCAAAATCAAAAGTAATCACAAGTTGGAAAGAGCTTCATTTATGCTTCCCATTTACAACAACCACACTCGTCTTCAGTAAAATATCAGCACATTCTTATGAACACGCTAAACTGTAGCCACTTTCTTTCCAACTTGTTACTCCACTATTTCCTCTTCCCCTTCGACAACTAAGTAGCTCTGGCAGTGTAAATTGTATTTGCTACGCTTTGTTGGATTTCTTTTATATAATCCGCTGTTAAGGTCCTTACATTTATTACTATTCTGAAGATTAATCATAACGTAATGCAGTTATTTTATGTTATTTGTTAAAAAATATTGAAAATCCAGCGTAGGGTTTAAGGCATGCTCAACATATCCCTCCTTCACCACCGCTAGTGCTCAGCTTCTGCAAAGACTCATCGCAGCAGCTGTAAACTCTGGGTTTTAGGGATACCACCGCCTCCCGTGACGTCACATTGTGACGTATGCAGCATCAATCGCCACCTGAGCTGGTTTAACTCTATAATTCCTGGAGCGAAGTTCACATTCTCTTTTACAGTGTTTTTATTTATTTTAATAAGGTGTGAGTCACGTCACACGTCACGTCATGCAGCTACCGAACATCGAAGGAAACCTAAGGCTTATAACTGGAACAAATTCACAAAAATCATCAGGATAATTATTGTAAGATCACTTCATTCCTTCTTTCCTTATACTGATTAACTTCTCATAAACTGAAATTCACAACCTAGTAGCATGTATGGCCACAGTTGGAAGCAAAACTGTGTATTTGTTATACATGTTTTCAAGAATTTTACAGATTCTGCCTTGGGGCATTTTGTTCCATTTTTACCTACAGCTTGGGCAAGCATGAGTCTATTCACTGCTTCCAGCCCTCATCCCATCTCATCCCATTAATTTTCAGTGGCTCTCAGGTTGTTGTTACTCTGTATTGTACTGGTGTATCAGGACGAGTTGTCACATCAGGATGAGCCTGCAGCAGGTGAGATCCCAGGATTTGGTCAATATAACGCTGGGAGGAAATGATGATGAAAATAAAACATACCTGGGCTAACTGAATACTTGGCATCCAGAGGGATGAGAGATTCCACATGAGGGAGAGGAGGCTGCAGGATAGGCTCTGAGGGGAACTGGCTTCTCCCCTGAGCTAACTGAGAGCTGTAAAAGAACGACCAGGGTGAAAAGGGAGAGAAAAGGGAGAGAGGGGGGCCTCAGAGGTATTGGATTGGGCTGGTTTACAGGCTTGTGGCACTCACATATTGAAAGATGCTTGAAAAATTTAGGTTAGGCTGTACTGAGGGACATTTTAAGTTCTGGACATTTGAGCAGCATAGACTAAGGAATGTGAGGGGGCAGTATAAGGCTTCCTGATGCGTACTGGCGGGCCAGGCTTGGTAGGGTATGTTACTACCTTGCCAGGCAATGCACTACACATCCTGTCGGGAGCCAGCCCTTGGCTTAGGAGAAGTAGGTAACTGCACAGGGCCCCTAGGCCACCAGGGAGGCCCCTCAATGTGTAACACAACATATTTGATTACTTTTATTAACATTTCATGACAACTAACATGCAATGAATCATCAAAAGTGCCCCTTTATTTGTGTTACAAACTATGATGTAATAGTTTCAAATTAAAATCATGTAGTGGCAACTACATGTAGTGGCACATCCTTCTCAAAAAGGGCGTACCTATCGGACGCCGAGAAAAGGAAGTGCAGAAAAGTAGAGCAGGATAAGTCATCTAAAAAAAAGAGGTATGCCAGGTCAAATCACTGTAATAATGCACTTGTAGTTCATTTGGTTTTGAGTCTGTCAGACCCATGTAACTAGCAAAAGATAGAAAAGCCACATTTTCTAGCTGGACACGTAGACACCAGCTGCCATATCACCCTGCAACTCACAAGCCTGCTCAGTACCTGGATGGGAGACCTCCTGGGAAAAACTAACTAACTTGCTGCTGGAAGAGTTGTTTGTGGGGCCAGTAGGGGACACCCACCCTGTGGTCTAGGTGGGTCCTAATGGAGACACTATCCTGTTAAAAGGCGCCGTCTTTCGGATGAGACGTAAAACAGAGGTCCTGACTCTCTGTGGTCATTAAAAATCCCAGGGTGTTTCTCGAAAACAGTAGGGTTGTAACCTATTGGCCCTTACCATTCATGGCCTCCTAATAATCACTATCTATGAATTAGCTTCATTACGTTGTTCTCCTCCCCACTAATAGCTGATGTGTGGTGAGAGTACTTTGGTTGCCATTGCATCATCCAGGCAGGAATGCACATTGGCTGAGGGAAGTCCCCATTTCCTGAAAAGCGCTGTATAAGTGTAAGCAGTTATTATTATTTGAGGTGTTTTACTAGAAGTTAATAGATTCACATTTCATGTTAATACTTTCAATGTTAAAATTTATGTTTTTAAAATGTGTGCTCCTTGTTCATGTATATAAGTTATTGAATACATATTATTCAAAGTTGGGTATGTTTTTAATTGATTTTATTTAGTTGTTCTTAACAATACAATAAGGTTTGGGTGGGAGCTGATAATAGTTGTGTATGCCCAATTTGTAATTTGGAGGGTCTGCTTTCCAAGACCTTGCCTAGGGTCCCCAACAAGCATGGACTAACCCTGTCTCCTTTAAGCCCTGGTTCAGCGGGCCAACCGGTTCCTCAGCAGCACACTTCAACGCCATTGAGCCTGGCAAACAAACTGCTACAGTATGTATTAGAAACAATGGGTGCTGTTCCTCCCCCACCTGTGGACCTGTTGAGCAATCAGCTTCCTTCCCTCTCCTTTGTTAGTCTTCTGGGTAAACAATCCTCTTCCTAACTACTGTACCTTTCTGTCTAGCACTTGTGATGGCCATCAGTACAGCCTAAGCTATATTTATCATTAATAATGATGATAATAATAATAATTGCTTACACTTATTAATGGGGACTCCCCTCCACCACCACCAATGTGCAGCATCCACCTGGATATATATTCAAAGAATACTGATGGCATGAAGAAAGGTTCCTGTCCACAGAGGAACCAATTGAAAAAAAAGGGAAAATGTATCTCAAAAGAAAAATATTTTTTAGTTCTATAAATTGTGAATTCTTTTTGAGATTTGAATTTATAAAGTATGACATACTTTTACCAAGGTGAATATAAAGGTGAATTTTGTAACAAACACTTCAGTTATAGTTTATATACTAAGTGGGGGACAGGAGTTAATCATATTTTATGATAAGATGTTTGTTTGTTTGTTTGTTTGTTTGTTTGTTTGTTTGATTTAAAGCTATTGCAGTGAAATAATCCATGAAAGGATGCTTGTAAATGTTTGTTTTTTTTATCCACACCAATGCTCTTAATATTGGTGGGTCTGGGACAACAGACAGCTGTATTTCTAAAGAGAGGAGAACATAAACAAACCAGCAGAAAAAGAAATATACTACATAAAAGCCTAGCTCTTCTTTGAGCAAGTAGGTACCTTGTTCAGGTTCTTGGATAACATGCCTGGTAGCTAAGCTGATTCCTAACAACAATATTTTAAAGTCACACAGACTTCCAAAAATTAAGCACCAGCAATTTATTTGTCTTTCATCCCTGTATTTCAGGTCCTTAGTCAGTCTTTTATTCCTTCTTAGAAACTTACATAGTCACACTGTAACCCTCACTATGAACTCCAAAAGTACATTTTCATGATTAAATACAACTCCTAAGTATTTTTATTTATATTAATGTCAGTTTCTAAAGTAAATTGTCTTTTTGAATCAATTAAGAAACTTGATAACATTGAAACTTATTCTGAAGGAGTAAGAGTATTGAGACAACTGGCTGATGGCTATTTCTTGTTGGAAACGTGTCATTTTGTTATGTACTTAGGTGTTCATAAAGGGACTGTGAACATCCTATCAACAATCATCAGTTTGGAGTTGTCATGGCAGCCGGGTCAGACTCCTGTGGGGTGTGCAATTAAGACTCTATGTGTGACGGTATAATCCAGAAGTGTCTGGAGAAGGACATCAGGGGAAGACACAGCCGGGTTAGGACAGGTTGACAGACAGGTGGCGATGACTGTGCTCGGGGGAAAAGCACAGGCAAGCAAGTCCAGGGAAGTCCAAAACAGGAAGCCAAGGGCGCAGTCCGAAATCCAAAAGCCAGGAGATCTATCCGAGACAAAGACAGTTAAAAACCAGGGAACGGGGAACAAGGTCCAGGAACACGAAAAGTAAAAGCATTACAGGACTAGGCGCTCCGAGCCCCAGACTCACAGATCAGGATGTCTGGGGATAAGGCCTATGCCCTCAGGCTAGTCCGGAGCCTGGTGGTATGTGGGCCTTCAGATATCCATAATCCAATGCTGAGCCCAGAACTACAGAGATGCCGGGTTTATATAACAAAAAAGGGAGGAAACACGGCTTACAGTACTAAAACTAAAATCAATACAAAAAAGGTAGGAGCGCCCTCTAGAGGAGGGATGACAACAGTACACAGGAGTCTGTACTCAAAAGCCAAAATGAAAACCAAAGAACTCTCTGTTAAAGTAAGGCAGATCATTTCAAGGCTGAAAGAAAAGCAAAAAACAATAAAAAACATACCATTTGTGTACACAAAATCAACAATTTGGAAAATATTGAAGAAGAAAGAAACAGTGAGTTTAATTGTAAACTAGCTGAGATTGGTAAGCCAAGAAAACATCTGTAGTTGTTAACACAAAAGATACCAGTGAAGTCAAGGAAACCACTAAAACAGCTGTCAGTGAAATCAACAACAAGCTTCAGCGTAAGGGGCAAGGTTTCAAAATCCAAACAGAGATGGCAGGATTTTAAATGCCACACTGCAAGATTTGCACCACAAACAGCACAAACAGTTAAAGGAGATAACACTTTGCCTGGAAATGCAAAGTTTTGGAATTTCATGGAACAAGATAAACCTTTCTAAAATTATGGAAAGGCTAAAAAATGTGTCCTCATATTTTTCAAAAATGACCTCATATGTGTAAAATAAGAGGAGATAATTTAAGGACCAGGGAATATATTTTTTTTTCTGGATGTTTCTGTTTCATGCCAGCTTATCTTTACTACTTTTGTAAATAATGATGGCAACAGCAGAAAAAGTTCTGTTTTAAAAAGTTTTCAGAAACATTTTGTCGACTTATACAGAAGAAAATTATTCAAAACTTATTAGACTATGCTTCACCAAGTAGTTCAAGTAGGTAGTAGCGTAGGCTGCAAGGGGAACAAGTCTTCACCCGAAGAAGGCTCCACAGCCGAAACATTGTTTCTTTTCTTCTCTTTTCAGCATGGAATAAACCTTTACTTGTTCCTATTCTTCACCATACAGCATGACAATGGCCCAAACCATACAGTCTCAATACTTTTGAAAGGCACATGTACAGTATC